TATCCTCTGCGTGAAGCGATAGAGAGTAGCCTCACAGGTTGACCCATTGATATTCGAGAATGGTTGTTCCTCCTCGGGTTCAGGATCCGGAACACACGTAGACACTTCATTGAATACTTCACGTGGTATATCAGCATGCTCATTGAGGCCGATCTCATGAGATATATCGCCTGAATTACACAACAGTAGAGCATAATGGTTCGCATCGTGGATGCGACTGTCGCCCTGCGACATCATTCACCATGGGCTTTCAGATCGTTTATCTCCCTCAAACTGTGCATGAACGCAGCCTTCGCAACCTCGTACTGTTCCTTCGAACCATACTTCTTGTTGTACCTGCGAGATTGGAATAGAGGGGGACCTGCGTGGCTGTACGCCAACTAACGCTATCAATCTGACGGTGCATCCCACATTCTTATGAACTCCCGGAAGGCTCGCTCGATGTCACCAACTCCAGTCACCTGGCTCGAGCCTCTGACCACACCCTGAGCCACGATAACGAGAGATAGAATCCCGACGGTGAACCACATAGGAGTATGTTGGGAACTGTCAGACAGACCCGACTCTGAACTCGACAGAGAGAAGGAGAAAAGCCAAAAGCTTATCTTAACTCTTGTTCCTCGAAGACCCTGTGCATGCGTATCGATCCGAGAAACGATATCCCACACAGAAGCTATACGCCAATCTCGCCCGCGCAACGAAAACAGCAGACAGTCCTGCGGCACACAACGAAAGGGACGTTACTATGACTAATAGTGTGGTAACGAGCGATCCATTACAAAGTACAGGAGAGACGGATCGAGACGAAAAAGCTGCATTGACAGGAGGAAACGACTGGCGCCACGTTCAGCCGCACGAAATTTTCAACAACGGGGCGCAGACCGTGATGAACTTCGAGGGAATGAAGGCAGCATAGGAGATATTGTGCCAGCGGCCCTTACGTTTGGCTGTTCATAGCGAGTACACTACCCACAAACGCGCAACGGACATGCCGCGTATGGAGGTACCATTATGACGATCTAGGCAGCCGCCTCCAACGGTGATCGTGTCT